ATATGTGTTTAGTAAGCACTACTCAGAAACCGATTAAGAAGGTAATTTTACATCAAGAAAATATTTTTCAATTGTTCAATCTATTTTTAATGCATTTTTTCATTCAAGGGAAATGGAATCCTGATGCAAAAGTTCATTTTGACAAAAGGCTTCAGAAAAGTACCTCGAAAATGTTTTTTTACAGCGATTTAATGTGCGCAAGACGCGTTGAAAATGTTTTGTTGTGTCCATAAAAAGGCTTTAAAAAGAACTAGGGAGAAGGTAGTTTTGTGACATATCAAGGACATCTCGATAATTGCCGCCTGCGGCGGACATTGGCTGTTCTATAATAGGTCTATTCATGTGTGAACAGAACATCGCAGTGGAGGTTCAATGTCTCGAAATCTCGTACTTTTAACATCTCTGAGATGTTTTTGTGCTCGCTGGGTCTTGATATTATAGTGTAAACTATCTGTATTTCAGAGATTTTCAATTATTCTGAATCACCCTGTATAAATTCCAGACATCCGACCAAAAAAATCAAGGTGGACAGTACAGGTAGGTATTTATAAATTCCGCCAACGCTTCCACATCTTTCTAAATTATAAAAACGTGTTCTAGTGTATAGTTTTCTGGCTGCAGGCGAATATATTCCTGCTATTTAAAAATAACATTGTTTCTAGGCCGATAAGTATCAAGAATAATATCAAGATCAAGTTAGAATCCATTCTATAACACGTTCTTTGATGTCTGGATACAATCTATCGTGCGTCTTGTTCATTATTTTTCTAGACTGCCAAAGAAAATATTCATCCTGATTATTTCAGTGTAACATTCTAAAACCAGAAAATTAAACAAGGCTCTTATATCATCAGAACAATCATTTTTCTTGTTTGACATTTAATATACAGGGTGTTTCATATGTGGTGACTGGGATTCATGTATATTCTGAATTCTGAAGCATACAGGGTGTCAATTTGAAAACTTCCCACCCTCAATATCTCTCTCCAAGTCGATAATATGGAAAAACGAAAAGACAGGTCGATTTTATTTTCGAGGGGGACATGGTTCTAAAATATTTTCAGCCCCGCGGCGTTGCCGCTTCTAACGAAAAGAAGCAACAACTTTGTTATTTCAAATGGAACACCCTGTATTTTATTGCATTTTTAGATTCTCACTGAAAAGCTGATTTCATCAATGTATCACACTTGGGGTCTAGCAGGAATGATTACACAGATATAGGGTGTTCAAAATCGAGATATTACAACTTTAGGATTTTTTTGAGTCGAAACTATTCATTATTGGTCAAAACGGCTTTTATGTCCCTATCTCAACTTTTGATTTACTATCTACTGACATTTATTTGAAACAAATACAGGGTGATCAAAAGTCTGAATCTTGAACCACCCTGTATTTGTTTCAAATAAATGTCAGTAGATAGTAAATCAAAAGTTGAGATAGTGACATAAAAGCCGTTTTGACCAATAATGAATAGTTTCGACTCAAAAAAATCCTAAAGTTGTAAAATCTCGATTTTGAACACCCTATATCTCTGTAATCATTCCTGCTAGACCCCAAGTGAGATACATTGATGAAATCAGCTTTTCAGGGAGAATCTAAAAATGCAATAAAATACAGGGTGTTCTATTTGAAATAACAAAGTTGTTGCTTCTTTTCGTTAGAAGCGGCAACGCCGCGGGGCTGAAAATATTTTAGAACCATGTCCCCCTCGAAAATAAAATTGACCTGTCTTTTCGTTTTTCCATATTATCGACTTGGAGGGAGATATTAAGGGTGGGAAGTTTTCAAATTGACACCCTCTATATTTGTCAGACAGGTATAAACGTTTGAGCACCGTGTTCACGAACATTATACAAGGTGTTTTTAAATAACACCGAGAAAATTCGAGCGGTGATTCTTTGTGATATTTCAGGAAATAAAGTTCATATGAACATGTGTCCTAATTTGTTTTAGAGATACAGAGTATTAATATATTAGCATGAAAGATCATTGTTTTATTCATTACTCAATTGTCTTTTCATCAATTTCAATAAAACGTTGTGGTTTTGTTAATAGTAATATGGAGCTTCTTCGGATGCAATTACATTCGAAATAATATTTCCAGTTGCGTCACAGTGGGTAAATTTATCGATATTTATAGTGAATGTCATTGAACGTCACCGAGTTTCATATTTTTATTAGATTCAACCATTGAAATAACAACTTTTTTATCCCTTGTGTGATTTTTGTAGCTAGCTTAGTTTTTGAGGAATCAATAAAAATTCGATTTGACTCCAAATTTAATGTAGGTGTTTTCAAGACTTCCATTGAGATAACTCAATAATCCCAATTACAATTATTTTGAAATTTTGAAGCTTTCTCAGTCTCCAATCATACTGAATTTTGGCACCATGAAAGCTTATACAGGGGGGGTTATAAATGAAAACAATGAATACTTCCAACTTCAACATCCTGTATCTCAGAAACGGAGCAAGTTAGGACACATTGTTTATATGAATTTCATTTGCTAGAATATCACAAGGAATCCCCCTTGAAATTTTTCGGCGTTATTTAGATACACCCTGTATATGAGTTTTTTAAAAAGAAAATATTTAAGCATACCTCCTCGCACTAGGTCGCCTACTAGGTTTTCATTTAGATCGACAATGTTTAAGCTAACCATATTTTAGAAGAAAATCATATATGGCCGAGATTTATGAAGAACATTTTCCATGTTTTATATGACATTTTTCATAACAAGGAACCATCATCAGTTCCTGAAATTTATAAAACACCCTATAAACAAGTGACACATAAAAAATCCAAGATCACTGATCTCATGATATTGGCAACTGAAGTTATCACCTGCTCATCTGAAAAACATTTGCACTTGTAGTCGAAAAAAAAACTATTCATTATTTTCGTTTTGCTTTGTTAGTCATCGCCTATTATTACTCCTTTACGACAAAAATAATTTACTATTGATGCATCAGAATGTGACTCAGCAAACAACATTTCTGGCAACTGATTTGTTTTGCAACTATAGGCTGACGTGTAAGACCACTTTATTGTACAGGGTTTCTATTGAAGAGTCTACCAATATTTTTTTTGTGACGGGAAAAAAGTTTTGACATTTCATCTCTATTGGCAGGTTGTAAAATGTCACTTTTCATAAGTTACTTTTTTTCCACGGGGAAAAAGTGAGAAGTTATAAATCAATAACACCGTCTCCGAGAAAGAACTGCAAGTCCTTGTATCTTCCATTCCACTTCCGGTTACGTAAAATCACTAAACACTAAAGAATGATAAAGATGCCTACAACGCAGGTGTAATTCCTATAAAATATCTTCAAATTTCATGTCGATAATTTTGTCACAGAAAAAAATCGTGTAATATACGCGGGAAAAATATCAGATTTTAGCTCACGGTTTTTGTCTACTACTACTTTTTTCCCTTGTATGATAAATAACTGTTTTCATCAACTGATGATGGTTGAGGAAATTCTTTTTGTTTCAGTTTTCGTGCTTTCAAAAAATAAAACGTGTTGGTGATAAATTTCAAGTGGAAACTGTGTTCAAAACTGTAAACACAACCTCGAGCTAAAATCAACTACTTTTTTCCCTTATTATATAATAAATAAATGATGAAGCGGAATACCTAATTCTGGGTGAACAAATGCATCCATCAGTTCATTATTCCAGATTTTTTGGGATTTTCTCGTTTCTATAAAATAAAAATATGAATATTATTTCAATATACTTGTAGTGAGGACAAATCAGATGATTTGCCCCAAAATGTCACTACGTTCGAATAATTTTTCTATCAGAGAGCCTAAAAGAAAAATTCACTAGCTTGTCAGTGACAATTTGTATTGAAAAAGGTTTGGAGAAGAGAAATAGAGGTACCTATATAGAAAAAAATATCAAATTTTCACTTAGCTTTGGACGTTTCAGGAACGAATCTGCTCCAGTTTTCAACATAAAAAATGGATTCATTCAACTTGTTTCTTTAGAATTTTTTCTATAAAATAAAAATATGCGTATTATTTCAATATATTTGTAGTGGGACGAATCAAATTTCAAACTTTTTTCCCGTCACAGAAAAAAAATATTATTTTCATAATTATGTAATCAAGTAGTTGAAGAAAAGTGTTCTGAAATGAGTGTACGTGAAAAAAAAATGTTTTTCTCGGAGCATCAATCCACACGAGTCTAAATGAATTTGGAAAAATATCTTCAGTTCTATATAATCCTGACGATAAAACTTATCAACGCTTGATATCAACTGTTTCTCATTAGACTTGAGATTGATATATCGTTTACACAATTTCAGTCTTGTTTATTCTTCTTTTTAATTGAATAGGAAGCATGCAATCAGTTATTTGCATTGACTAAATGAGTTTCGTGTACCTATTTTCGGATTGGATATACAATGTCATGTTTTGACCTCACTTCATAGATTTTTTCAATTGAAATAAAAAAAAACAAATTATGATATACCTGAGAGATTTTCAATAAACAGTGTCTTGATAATGAGGATATTTTCAGAATAGTAAACTAATTTTATGTAGAATGAAAAAAAAAATGCAGAATTCCAAATCCAAAAAGCAGGACCTCTTGATTGAAAGTTATACAGAGGGTGTTCCTAAAAGATATGTGCAAAATCTTTGCACATAGTCATCGAACAACGGTCAAAATAAGCCGATTCAAAATTTGATTTTTATACTTCAACTTTACCACTCTGTATCTCGAAAATGGAGCAATTTCGGACTGAGATGAGTTGCTCCAAAAAGGCTTATTTCGACTGCAGGAATATGTGTTGTTGTGTTGATATTTTGTACAGACCTTTCAGGGGCACCCTGTATATCATTGAGTTTTTTTCAAATTTAGTTTATAAATTCACTACATTTATTGACCAAGAAAGCGAGGAGAAGAGAATGAACAAAATTCGCGTAATGTCGCAAAATTCTGAAAATTTTTATTTTGTTGCAGGTAGTTTTAGAAATCGAAAAATAAAAGAAAATGGCGACTCACCCGAGATTGGTAAACAAACAGTTCAACTCCCCGATTGGCTTGTATTCCTCTCAAAATGTACAAGAAATTTTAGAAAAGAATACACAAATTTTAGCCAACGGCGCAGTAGGGTGAGTAATCATTTATCGCCTACTAATAACAAAACAGGAATACAGGGTGTTTCCGAAATTGGGACAATAAATGAAATGGATGATAGAAGACGAAAAAACAAAACGAAATGATATAATTCATTCTCGCCGAAAAAAAATATTTTCGAAGATATTGAGCTTCAAAGTTTGCTGAAACCTTACTCAAATCATCGATCAGAGGTTAATAGCCCAACACAAGCGTTTGCTTTCGGCGAGATCACAATCACCGGAAGTATCGAAGACTTTTGCAATGTTGCCGGACATTCAATAATAGTTTTAAAATGTAGTTCGGTCAGATCGCACATTTTTTTAAAAAATTTCAAAAACATTTTTTATGATATTTTCATAAGTATGTCTCATAGAACACCTCATTTTATTTATTGCCCCAATTTCAGTAACACCCTGTATATACTACCCCAAAAATGAGTGGAATAAACGTAAATTGCAGTGAAATATTAAGTAGCATTCATTAGCAATTTTGATTGAAGTAACTGTCTATATAACGAGTTTATCCACGACTGTTGTATAAAATATTCATATTACATGTAATGGATTATGATATTTTCATTTTATATTTTATTATAATTCTTTTTTTTTTAGGAAAAACAATAGTTGTGCAATTATTATTGTTTCGATTTATTATGTTATATATTGTATGTTTTGTTGTTTATATCCCTATTATAAACAATAGTGTTTCTTGGGTAATAAAGAAAATCAATCAATCAAAACGGTAGCCATTTTCCACACCAGTGAATAATAGCAGTGAATTACCATAATTCACTGGTCTAGAGTTCCTAGGGTACGCGATATAACATATCAGGAACTTTAGACCAATGAATAATGGTTATTCAACGCTACCATTCACTGGTGTGAAAAATGACTCATCATTTTGCTTGAGGAAGTACAACAGTCGTGGACAAATAATTAATATAACAGGTATCTTCAATTTTTAGTTTTCTTAATGTCAAATGAGTTATGATTAAACAGTAGTTAAAAATGAATTTATATATCAAAAACAATAGTAGTCGTGGACAAAGTTTAGTATTCTACTCGCATATAATGAGCTATTATCAATATCTTTGTTGAATAATATACTATTTTTCGACACGTTTTTAAATTATTCATTATTGTTTCAGTATCGATTTTCACGATTCTAACGTTGGAAAGCCGGCAAATCTTCAAAACTCGGCAGTCCTACGTATGTTAGAAGAAGAAGAAAATAGAAGAAGGAAAGGGTACGCACCAGGTGAGGTCATCATTCAATGATGTATTTTCGTTTTCACACAATATACTTAATATTACTTCAACTCGAAAAATAATTGACCTGAATAACCTGAATATACAGGGTGTTATTTAAGTACGTGGCCAAACTTGAAGGGGTGATTCTTTGAGTGATTCTAAGACGAAAAGTTCATATATATAGGTCCGGTAATGCTTCGTTTTCAAGATACAGGGTGTCAAAATTTTTAAAAGAAATCGTTTTTTTCGTAAATATCTTAATAGCCCTTCAACCGATTTTATTGAAATTTGGCAGTGTTATCCAAGGTCGTAAAGGGCTAATTTAACCCTAACTATATCAAAATTATCATGTCCAGTGGCGTCCCGGAAGGCACTGTAACCAATATTTTTGACAGAAAAAATGTGCGCCACTGATTTTTTTGCAATTTTTGTATTTATTTCACATTGAGCAACTAAAATTACAACTTTTTTATATCTAGAATTTTTTTCGTATCTTGTTTTGTTTTTGAGAAAAAACATAAAATTCACTTAACTTCTTTTAAAAATTTTGACACCCTGTATCTTGAAAACGAAGCATTACCGGAACTATGTTTATATGAACTTTTCATCTTAGAATCACTCAAAGAATCACCCCTTCAAGTTTGGCCACGTACTTAAATAACACCCTGTATAGTACTAATGTGTTATGGTACATATTATACAATAATGCCCGTCTAGAGTATTGTTATTCCCTCCTGCTAATTTTTGAACCACGTGGTATATCGCAACGAAATTTTGAGGGCTCAAAATGAGATAAAAACAAACTTTCTCATAAAAAAATACAATTTAAAGTGTTGAAATGGCGCCCGAGCGCCATCTTGTATTATTTTTTCCAATGGAACACACTGTATATGTATTATTCCATTTTCAAAATCTTCCCCATGATTCTTAAAAGTCATATCAACTTCACTTCTCTCCTGAATTCAATAGTTTTCGAGATATTGATGTCTGGAAAGTGCCATTTTGGTAATTTCAAAACCAACCACAAAACTCGGATGTTGCTTTCTCAATCAAGTTTGGTTTGGAACAAATCGTTGTCGCGGTAATATATTTATTTGTTTTTCAAAGCAAACTTAATTGAAAGCAACATTCGAATTTTGCCAAGGAATTTCTCAGAGGTATTTATGATTATAAACATCAAAAAACAATGGGAACATAAAGAAAGAATTGGTGAATGCTACGAAACTGAACATGAGTACAATTTATAAGTGAAAATGTTGAGATTTTCAAATCAGGCATAAAAAGTTAGGTACATGTACAAAATGAAATTATTTTATCAGAGAGGGTCTAGAAAATCATATCGAGCTCCCCTTTCGATAGCTATAACCCCCCAGGAGTCCATTCCTGGACCCATGCTGATATACTACACACTGATTTACCACTAACCAAACCAATTTTTTACACCTCAACAGGTGTTTCGCTATGTTAGCATCTTCAGGAGAAGATTAAATCTAAATGTTCTATCCTAGTGATCTACCTATATACTAGGTGAATGCCCACCCAATCGTGACAATAAACGCCAATTTAATGTTAGTCATGGTTGAGTTCACATGTTAACCTTGGTCTTATATCACTAAACTATAAAGGGGGCTAAATGGGATACCTAGGGAGGATCGGGAGAAACCTTTTAAGCCAGTTCAACACTTTATATTTTGTATATCAAGCTAAGCATATTTTTACTTCAGAAATGTTGTTTGCAACTCGAGCGCGAAATACTTTGGTCATCTCGACTATTTTTCTAACTCGGCTAAAATAACTATTTTCACCGTTTTTGTTTCTGGAATCTGATGGAATGTCGGGACACCCTGTATAACAAGATTGAGACATTGTTTTATCAGGTAAGGAAATTCGATTGAAGGCAGAAGGCATGACATATTGATATACAATGTGACTTATTGTTTTCTCAAGAACAGTTTAAAAATATGAGTTTTTTGTCTCAAGCTATAATTCCTCAATGAGTTAGTTTTGGCCCGTGATAAATAGTGCACTTATCTCATATCTCGCGTTAATTCCACCTATTTCGAAAATGTTGATACACACGGCTGGTGAGCAACAGAATTCGTGCCAAAAGCTCGCCATAATTCATAATATATCATTCGGCCATATTGCTTTATCTATTCATATAATCTAGAAGGTAAGTATCTATATCTGAATTGAAAATAGCCGTCAAGGCAACTTATTTCGGGTTTGCTGCGATCCGGTAAATTGCTTTGGATTGCTAGAAAATTTTATAAAATTTTGAGGAAAATGTGGCTGCTTCACTGTCAACATTAAAAATTATTAGGTAGGTATAAGGTTCATTATTCCAGATTTTTCTGGATGTTCTCAGCTCGTCTCTATGAAATAAAAATATGAATACTATTTCAGTATACGTGTAGTGAGGACAAATCAGATGATTTGCCCCAAAATGTCAAGGCGTTTAAAGAATTTTCCTATCAGAGAGCCTAAAAGGATAATTCACTAGCTTGTCAGTGACAATTTGTATTGAAAAAGGTTTGGAAAAAAGAAATAAAGATATATAGAAAAAATATCAAATTTTCACATAAAAAATGGATTTTTTGTATGGCAAATTCGTGTTTGTATTGACACTTTTCACTTCTCAGTGACAATTGGTGACGTTGGTAATCAAATGAGTTAAATTATGTTTTCATTAATTAATCTTGAATTTACCATTTTCAGATTTGAAAAGTTAATACCATCTTCTATCTATATCAACTGAATAGGAAGCAATGCTATATTGTCTCCGTTCAGAAGAATGCAAGCAGATTCCTTGATTTTTCTCTTCTGGTTGTTAAATTCTTTTCCAATGATTTCAATATTATTCCACTCTGCCATATGTTGTCCATCTTCAGTAAGGATATGTTCAGCTAGTTTCGATTTGTCGATGTGTCTTTTCTTTATATTGTATTTATGTTCCTTTGTCCTTACTGAAAGAAGTCTCTTGGTTTCACCTGCATAAAACTCTCCACAAACACAAGGTATACTGTAAATACAATTTTTTGACGATGGATAACATGTGGCAGAGTGGAATAATATTGAAATCATTGGAAAAGAAGATAACCAGAAAAGAAAAATCGAGGAATCTGCTTGCATTCTTCTGAACGGAGACAATAGCATTGCTTCCTGTTTAGTTGATATAGATAGAACATGGTATTCACTACTGAAATCTGAAAATGGTAAATTCAATTGTCACTGAGAGAACTGAGAAGTGTCAAGACAAATATGAATTTTCCATACAAAAATCCATTTTTTATGTCGAAAACGGGAGCAGATTCGATCCCGAGACGTACAAAGATAAGTGAAAATTTGATATTTTTTCTAAATACCTTTATTTCTCTTCTCCAAACCTTTTTCAATACAAATTGTCACTGGCAAGCTAGGAATTTTTTCTTTCAGGCTCTCTGATAGGAAAATTCTTTAAACGCAGTGACATTTTGGGGCAAATCATCTGTCTTGTCCTTACTACACGTATATTGAAATAATATTCATGTTTTTATTTTTTAGAAACGAGGAGAGAAAAACCCCAAGAAATCTGGAATCATGAATATACCACCTCCTCCATTAACCTACAAACAGTATTTAATTCTATGTTCGTTTTGTTCTGCTTTTTTTCTCCCAGAATTTGGGCTAGTTTCAAGTTATAATATTATTACTGTTCTTATCTTGAATTGACAATTTCTGTACTTGTGGTGCAAGGCTTATGAAAATAAATACTCATGTTTTCGTAGGAGCAGGAACAGCACCAAAAAGGGTAGCGTGGCCCCCACCAAACGAATCAGGACCGGATAGTCCGTACATTGAACAGAACGCAGTATCAGGACAGGTAAATAATAAAATTGCTACATTGCTAAATGTGAAAATAAACTACTCCCCTGGGTTATTCCATACAGAAACTATATCCTCCCGAAGTCTGATTCTTCCCAAATGCCGAATAATGCTTGCATTGAATTCAAAATTTGTCATGGTCAAAACATATTGAAATATTCAGAAAGTAACCCCCCGCCGTGAGTTAACTTTTGAACGGCTGTTTTTTTTAAATTTTTTTCAATGGTAGTTCAAATGCCACATTTTGATTTTTGAAATAACTATTGCATGAATGCCATTTCAGAAGAATAGAATCATTTGAAACGTCTTCCAATTCGTTTTATGATATTCATAATATAATTGAAAAGCTGATAATAATCTTCGATCTTGTTAGGTGCTGTCAGATATATTTTTTTGTCTAGCTTTTGTCAAAATAACTTCTCTTTTCGTTTCATGAATATAAATTCACAGAAAGCTCGTGAATTATTGTAACACTTCTACATTTCCACAAACACGATAGTATACTTTTTTTTTGAAATTTGGTCTAGCTATAGCCAAAGAACTTGCCTTTTCGATTCGTGAATATATCCATTTCGAATCCTGACAGCTAGGTCATGAGTTGTTACACTTTACACAAACACGATACTGCAAAAAAAAACATCATGAGACTAGCGGCAATCCTTGTACAAACCATCACCCCCCCCCCCTCGTTTAAATGTCGTCTCGTCTAACACCGACCTTTGTCCCCAGGGCGGCCCTCAGTACCCCTCCCAGTCGCCCAATCTGCTGCAACGCCAGCCACTGGCCGCCCCTAACCAGCCGCCGGCCACCCCTAACCAGCGCGCGATTCTCCAGCCCCTAGACGTCTCCCTTTCGGCCTCATCCCCCCTACCTTCCCCCACCCTCAATCAGAGCCCCCGGGCGTTCAAACCCGCCCAACCCTCCGCCCCAGCCAGACCGTGGGCACCCGTGAGCCGCCCGGCAGCGCAACAGGTGCCTCAAGGCCGCCCGAGCGAGCTATCCCCGGGCGTGCAAGTTTGCCCCTGCCCTGAGCCTTATTATCCCGTGCCTCGGCCGCAGGTTTGCCCTAGTCCGGTTCCTTATTCCGTTCAGTCGCAGGCTCAGGGGGCGCATTCTCCTGGAGTTCAGGTGTTGGGTAGTCCTGTGCCGTACGCTCGGGCTCCTGCTTCTCAGGGTTTCTCGATGCCTCAAGGTGCTGCGGCTCAGGTATGGATGAAGTATATCGTCCTAAGAGCATTCAGGCTGTGTCAAGTCATTCGTTCGACCACAGTGGCGATGCCAGGATGGCCAATATTTGACTCGACTCCCATCAAATGTTAACGTGGTAAATTTGTGGGCAGGTTTGAAACGTGACCGATATTCCACCACAGACTTGACACAGCCTCAGGATATCGCTTCGCTTAAATGGACTGCTATAATGATGATGTGTGGAAAACACGCCAACATTGACCGAAGAGGGTGGATATCTCTGCATCTCTCAGAGAGGCCAAGGTCGTTACTGCATATGTCAGCATTTCAAGGTTGAATATGACAGGAATTTTTAAATCATGTAAGGTTCATTCGGGTTCGAATTATTACGGTTCTAGAACTGTCAGGAGTTTGCGCAGTATAATCGTTCGCGTTCGGGTTTTGTGGAACTGTTTGAAGCTTCAGAATATTATTCGAATAAAGATAAACGACCTGCTCACTAGTTCTGAGCAGTTCGAGAACGATTCTTGAACAGTTCTGAAATCGGAACCCGAATGAGTCTGTGATCACTACAATGAACTTCACTGGAAAAAAATTAAGGGTCAATAATAGAGCACTGTGGACTGAGGTAGTTAATAACCTCAATTTCGAGAGATTTTTGTAAATTTCACGTCACGATGTAGATAATTCATTGAAGACATGTGAAAGGATAATTTGAATCGAATACATTGAAACAAAAAGGATCAGTGTGAATCAAAACACTATTTACTGAAAAATCAAATCAACCAAGTTGGAATAAACGTCAACTCTGTTGTTCATAAAATCATTCAGTATGAGATGCTCTATCTATCTATCTACAGGAGCCAATCCACTGCGTCATTTCAGCAATCTGGTCTTTGGAAAAAATTAAAAATATCTTCTTACCTATGGAAAGATATGTCATTTCAAGTTCCTGAAGAATAAATTTGCGAAGTATGCAGTAGTACACCATATTACGCAGCTCGTAATTCTGTTGTCAGCTGTATTGAGGATACTGCTGATCGTTCCAGCATGTTTCTTTAGCAGTAGAAGTCAAAAATTGAATTAAAAAACTGCATAAAACATCCAATTGCCTCAATTTCGAAACAAATATTTTCTTGATAGAATCATGTGTCATAAGATGGCGTTCGAATTTTGAAATTGCCATTGCAAGCGCATGTTTTATAACAACTTCCACCTTAGTAAAGAGGATGCCAATATTTTTAGCCTTTAAAATGTAGACGTGTTTCTGCGTGTACTACTAGCAGTCTATACAGGGTGTTCCTTAATGATATGGGGCTGATTCTTCGACCCATTTCAAGAATAAAACTTCATATGACCATATGTCGTAAATGTTCTAACTTTTGAGATACAGGGTGTCAATGTTGAAAATACGCATAATTATTTTTTTGTCCACCCTGTATAGCTTTTCGTGATGGCAAAATTCAGTCTGCCATGTGACTGAATCGGTATACAAATTTCAAAATGTTACATACGGTGGTTATCCAATAATGGATGTCCTGAGTGGAGTACTCATAGATCTAAATTTGAAGTCTCGTTTTTCCGTTTTTTCTCGAAAACGAAGCGTTCTATCCAGTATCAACATGAGGATCTTTTTTGTACATAATTAAATAGCCTTTTTTCTGTGACGGGAAAAAAGTTTGGCATTTCATCTCTGTTGGCAGGTTATAAAATGTCACTTTTCATAAATTACTTTTTTCCCGTGGGAAAAAAGTGAGTACTTCTTTCCCGGATATATATCACATATATATACTCTGTTAATGTCTTTTGTTGTGCTATAGTTCCGAAAAATAAGTCAATAATACCGTCTCCGAGAAAGAGCTGCAAGTCCTTTTATCTTCCATTCGACTTCGCGGTTTCGTATATTACTAAACAACTACTGAATTCGCAATTTTTTGAAATCAAATCACAGAAATTGAACTGACAGGAGTGACATCAGATATTTGATTACTTCAAAAGAATGATGAAGATGTCTATAAAACGCAGGTGTCCCTACTGTTAAAAACTTGAAATTTCACGTCGATAATTTTCAGATTTCGAAATAATGTAAGATTGATTCGTCCTTCCTTCTGTCACAGAAAAAAATAGTGTATTATACACGGGAAAAATATTAGATTTTAGCTCACGGTTTTTTGTCTCCCTCCGCTACGCGTCGGGAGACAACACAACCTGGAGCTAAAATCTACTACTTTTTTCCCTTGTATAATAAATAACTATTTATAGCATTGTATGAAATTTGAAAATTCTTCATCGCTGCTTACTTTTTTGTAAAATATAAACAATAATTTTCCCGTAACGGTGCCACTGGTAGAGACAATGAAAATTTTTATACATCAGAAAATGCACCTTGATGCATGAAAGACGTGTACGTGTCACCCTGTATCTCAAAAGTTAAGACTTTTCGGACATACGTTCATATGAAGTTTTCTTCTTGAAATGAGTCAGAGAATCACCTCCTCAAATATTAGCATGTCTTTAAGGAACACCCTGTATATGAGCGAAGCGAAAAACTGTATTTATCATGCGATAGGTTTATTTTCGAAAAATTTTGTAGGTACTACGTATTTTTGCCAAAAGAACGCAAATTTGATAATGAAAATGTGAATAAACCATTATTTATTGAGATATTTCACACAATAAAGTTACAAATTTCACCTTCTTTTCCGCCTGTCTTCTGGATCGCATTCAGAACAATTTGCCCTTCTTTTTCATCATTGGACAATTTATATATATCACAATGTACGACACATTTTTTTCTATTATATGAGTCAACTAGAAATATGATTTTCTTGTGATGTATCCATATTTAGTGACGAGAAGGAAGAATATCATTTAAAATAATGGCGTGTGTAATGTCATTCAAAAACAATCTATTGACATTTGACATCTCGTATTTGGATTGACTATTGTAAATGGCCGTCATCTGGTATGCTTGTTTACTAAATATGAAAAACTCGCCATAAAATAGTTATTTGTTTAACTAGGCAGCAAAGTAGTAGGCTAGGAATCCAGCTAAGGCAGTCAATCTACTTTGCTGCCGAGTTGAACAAATAATTTTTTCTTCGAGTGTTCATAATGATATTGGAGGATATTGTAATTGCGAATTATTATAATTCCCACAATCTCTTTATTTTCCTGTAGTGTTCAATTAAAATGAAATTTGATAGAAATCGCAGTTGTCGATGATAATTATAATGGACAGTGATAGCGACCTAGAGGTACTTACACCTACAGAAATAAGGGAGGTGGCAAAAAATATAGAGTTGAATTTGTTGCCGGAGAAGTCTTGAATGAAATATGAAGGAAATTATAAACGATTTATGGATTATAAATTTTGCTGATACATATCAATCAGCAAAGTACCCACTTTGCTGCCTAGGCAGGAAAAGTAATACTTTGCTGATTGATATGTGTCAGCAAAATTAATATTTGCTGCCAATCGGAGAAAAATCATAATTCCTGTTGAGTTTTCTATATAAAAATGTGTCATTGAAGTACATACCATGAGTATATGAAGCATAGATTGAAGTGTCCAATGACAAAATAAGAAGAGCAAGTTGCTGTAAATGCATCTGACACAAGGGAAAAAAGAAGGCAAAACTTTTTCTTGAAATATCTCGATAAATAGTGGTTTGTTCACATTTTCATTATCAAATACGTGTTTTTCAGACAAAAATACGAACAAAAAAAATTCGAAAAAAAAACCATCGCATGATAAATGCAGTTTTACCGGATATACAGTGTGTCTCACTTACCATGCTCACCATGGGTATCTTTTTAACGGTGAGACATACGAGGTCGGTTAAATGACACCAAATGTGGAGTTTGTCAAGGCCAACTATAATGTGTAAAAACATTTTGATAAAATCTATTCGTTTTTGTTTTATACGCAAAAAACAGATTTTAATAATTTTCATGTCTCCTCCGTAACTTCTTTATTTATGAAAATATTCAAATAGGATTTTCACATTCTCATGGCAGTTTCTCAAAGTGATTTCGAAAAAAATATGAAATTCATACCAACTCTTCTAGAATTTGAGATAGCAGCACCAACTTTAGTTTTTCAAATGTAGGTCATAGCTCCCTATGACTTAGTTACGAATAACTTTTTTTTCTCTTACAGATGATATGTCGCAGTAATAGTTTTGTGTTGATAACAACGGAGTAATCGTCATTTATACAAAAACAACAAATTATTTGGAAGCCGCCATCTCGAATTTATAAATTACAAAAAAATCATGATCTCCGACCTCAAAAACCCCCACTTACCAATTTTGAATGGAATCGGACCAAATCTTGTCCGCCATCTTGGAGCAGCCATTTTTTAAAATTTCAACAAAAATTCCATAACTCCGATTAACTTGAAATTTAACAGGTGTTCATAATTTCGGTGACAATACCTTATGGAATTTTTGTTGAAACTAAAAAAAATGGCTGCTCCAAGATGGCGGACAAGATTTGGTCCGATTCCATTCAAAATTGGTAAGTATGGGTTTTTGAGGTCGGAGATCATGATTTTTTTGTTAAAATTTATAAATTCAAGATGACGGCTTCCTAATCAATTTTTGTTTTTGTATTAATGACGATAACTCCGTTGTTATCAACACAAAACTATTACTGCGACATATCATTTGTAAGAGAAAAAAAAGTTATTTGTAACTAAGTCATAGTGAGCTATGACCTACATTTGAAAAACTAAAGTTGGTGCTGATATCTCAAATTCTAGAAGAATTGGTATAAATTTCATATTTTTTTCGAAATCCCTTTGAAAAACTGCCATGAGAATGTGAAATTCCTATTTGAATATTTTCATAAATAAAGAAGTTACGGAGGAGACATGAAAATGATCAAAATCTGTTTTTTGCGTATAAAACAAAAACGGATAGATTTTATCAAAATATTTTTTCACATTATAGTTGGCCTTGACAAACTCCACATTTGGTGTCATTTAACCGACCTCCTATCTCTCACCGTTAAAAAGATACCCATGGTGAGCATGGTAAGTGGGACACACTGTATTTACTCTGAAAGGTAACTCGCTGTTCCTGAACATTTTAAATTAATAAATTCTTCGTATTGTATTTCAGTCTGCACCCAAAGTACAGGCATCAAGGCCCTTCGAACCACCTCCGTCTACTATCACCCTTCGCCCTCAAGCTCCAGTGAGCCAGGTTTCTCCACCAGTGTATGCTTCTCAACCAGCCACGGCTACTATAAAAGGTGAGTAATTCGCTAATAACTTATTAGTTGCACACGAAAACTAGTTATTTATGTACCAAGGAGGAAAACTGTCTATTCGCGGGAATCAATGTTACTAGGTGGCGCTCGGTTTTCATCGGTCCATGTCAAAGCCACGTCAAAACTGGGGGAAAACAAACTCAATCCTCACTCAATCCCATTATTGCCATTAGCTTGTGTACTGTGTACTGATAAGAGTGATAAGTTTTTGAATTTATTGACATTAATTGTCAATATTCGATCGAAAACGCTAATAATGCCTGTTGTAGATGTTCTTGTGGCAGATATTCTGCTGTATTTAGACGAAAAAAGACGACCAGTAGTGGAAGAGGAGAAGCAGTTCTCCGTGCTAATCATGTGATTTTGTGTGAGGCAGAAGAATTCAACAAAAGGCACATTTTTGCACTTTGTCTAGAAACTTCGGCGATGAAATATTCCCCACATGAAGTAAAATTGAAGTTGGGGTCCCGAGGAACTCCTGCAGAACAATGGATTTGTATTTGTTCATGCAAAGCAGGACAATCTGGGTATTGTAAACATGTTGTAGCTGTTCTTTTATATGTCAATTGATTTGCTCGTCATAATTAGTTTGAATGGGGGAGACCACTGATTTTTTGAAACGACATTATCGTGAACTCTATACTGAAAAACTACCAGTGAATTAATTTTGAATTTTTTCATTCATCCTAAGACGATGAAAAAAATAAATTAGAATATGCCCATTTCAAAACACAAAATTCCTGTGCCATTTGAAATTTTGTCAATTCATTGGTGTGACTGGTGCGACGTCTTAGTCCCAACACGCCTATCGTCCTTGAACTCACCAATCACACTGCAACACTACAGAATGACGAGGTATCAGAGAGAGATAGCTACAGTGCGGACTAATACGTCACGGCTCCACCATCATATTTAGCTTTTCGAAATAACGAATGAAATATGCTGATTCCAAAACGATATAGATTCGATTCCCTTCAACTTCAACTCATAATATTGATTGTAGACCAAACGTTAACCATGATTCGTCGATTGAAAGAGGTTTGCACGGATTTCTTTCCTCAGTGGTCTTCCCCATTGTTTGAACTATCTCCAATTCTTCACCCGTTCACTGTTCACTAAACTAATAAAAATGTAATGATGTAAAAAAATTAAGCAACTCAACCATCATCACAACCAACAGTGCCAACACTTTATGTCATTAACAAGTTTGACTACAGCTACAGCAAGCTGAATGCAATGTAGTCTATGCACTTTATCCATAGACAACAGTTTGTTTTCCCCCAGTTTGAAGTTCGTATTATGTAACCTAGATGTCGCCCACTTCGTGAATCTCGCGAATTATGGTCCAGTCTGCAAATTGATAACCGAGGCTAGCAATCAGGCGAGACAGTAGACAGTTTTTCGCAGAGGTGCATATTAAATTGTTTCGTCGACTACAAACTAACTAATATCATCCAGTGACTCTAGTGACACCTTGTTTGAAAAGTTTGAAGGAAGAGATCAACTACAAAGTTTTAATCTTTCGGTTTACAGAAGTGTGTAACTTAAAGAGTTTTTTTTTATATATTTTCTAGTTAAAGTCAGCGCCAAGCATTTGCGGGGTGACCAGAAATGGCCTCCCGAGGGCGTGAAGGAAAAGATGTCGCGAGAAGCGGAAAACCTAAACGCTAGTAATAGTTTCCTTTCTCTTCAAGGTGGCAAGCACCTGCGCGGCGACCTAAAATGGCCGCCGGAGAACGTGAAAGTGCAGGCCGAAGAGGAGAACCGGTTGCGGATCGAGCTGGCCAAAGGGCCGGTTTGCAGGCCGAGGAGGCCCAACAAGGATTACACCTCGTTTTTCGCGCAGAACGCGCTTAATTCCACGTATCCCGGGTACAAAATACCGCCCGGCACGCAATTCTTCAGGCAGTTTTAGACTGAGAAGTTTGTGTGTCTGTGAAATCTGCCATCGCATAGGCGAGTGGACTTAAATACACTCGCCGACAAAAAATACCGGCCACCAAAAAATGTTGCCAAATTGTTCGCCCTGTAACTTTTTTAATTCTTGTCCGATTTCGGTGAAATTTCGACCAAATCGTATATAAATGTTTTGGAATGTTAGCCTGGATATGGTACTAAGGAAAGCTGATGGCTTGATCATTATACAAGGAAAAACAAAAGTGACTCTTTTACCCTTAGCTTCTTAACGCCCAGTGGCAGAGGTGAGTGGTTAAACCGAGCTTCATTATGTTTGGGATTGAAGTGTGATCCCTTCTCAACACAATGGTTTTCGATTCTCGTCGATAACCACTTTATAAGAAAAGATACGAGTGTTTTAAGAAAATATGTTTTTTTTTATTAACAATAATTCAGAACCATTCTCCAACCTACTGCATTATCAAGTTTTGAATTGAAGTGTGATCATTTTTCGTCCCTTCTTAACACAATGGTTCGAGATTCAAGTCAATATCTTCTTCTTAAGAGAAGATACAAGTCTTTTAAGAAAGTATGGATTTTTTGAATTTTTATCAACAATAATAGAACTTATAGAGCATCTTGGGGATGAACTCCAGAGGCTCATTCGCCTTAGTTCGGCCATGTCAGAGACTCTTCAAGAGCTTCGATTCGCCCTTCAAGGAGATTTTCAGGCGATTCTTCAAGACTACTTTAGAAATTTGATCAACTCGATGCCACGGCGGTTGAATGCCTCGTTGAATGACTCGTTATGACTATATACAGTTCTAATTTTTGTTTGTTTTTTTGGATTTGAGATTTTTTCTGTAAGTGCTAAGAAAATGAGGTAGAAATATGTGATATTGTTTCTTCAAGATGTTCATCAATAAGTTTATGTAGGTTCTGATTATTGTTAAAACGAGTATTAATGAAATTTGAAAAATGCCATACTTTCTTAAAACACTTGTATCTCCTCTAAAAAATAAGATATTGACGTGATTCAAAAAATATTGTGTTAAGAAAGGATCACACTTCAATCCGAAGCATAATGAAACTGAGTTCAACCACTCAATTTTGCCACAGGGCGTGAAGAAATAAAGGGTGAAATAGTGACATTGATTTTTCCCTGTATAAAGATCAAGTCATCAGCTTTTCACTTCTAATATTCAGGCTAACCATCCGGAACATAAATCTACGATGTGATCGAAATTTCACAAGTAACGGACAAGGATTAAAAAAGTTACAGGGTGAACAATTCTGGCAATTTTTTTGGTGGCCGGTTTTTTTTGCCGGTGAGTGTAGAATCATCAATGTTAGGTGCTAAAATCATCAATAATGCCACGGTAATTCTCAAACGACTAGACATTTAACGCCATTGAAAACTGACGCAACAATTTCACAAGTAGGGGCAGACCATAGCACAGTTGCTATGTATTGAAATACGATTGGGAACTACAGAAATATTAGTTATTTAATAATTCATAATTTCTCATTTGAGTATTGGTAATATTCTTAATTAGCAATAAAAAATCAATTGTCTCAAAATGTCCCCGTATGATTTGTAGCTTTTGCTTTCAATAAATTTGTGTAAATAATAATTATATTAATTCACACTAGAGGACACTTGAATCGGTGAACGTGACGACCCGCGAACGACTCGTGGGCGTGGTCTTGTCAGTTCTCAGCATTCAGCACAATGTTGCCAACATGGGAGTCAGTCATAATTTTTGTCGGTTACTCGACCGAAAAGATACATATATGATGAAGATGGAAAGCCCTAATTTCGAGTGGAAGGAAAAACAATGCCAGAGGACGAAGGGGGAAATATGGAGACTGTATAGTACCCTCCTGCCAGCGATGCTTCGTAAAGTGCATGATTTCGAGTGACTTCGGGAATTTGAAGGATTCTGTCGCCTGGTGTGTGATGAGAACTCGACCTCCCTTGTTTGTATTCAAATGGACTGTATCTCGAATGAAAATTAATGTTGTATGCGTAGCGTTGAAAAGGCACTCACCTCGTGTGTTCTTGATGATGACTTGATGTCCTGATGATATAGTGTGATCTAAGCGTTTCTAGCTAACTTCACTGGTAACAGCAGCGTCACTTGGTATGCATAAAGGCACCCGCGTAATCTCGAGCGATGATACAAAAAATGTATTTGTTATTTGCGAATTAGTAGCGAAAAATTGTCTTGGCTGGACTGATAGCGTGAGAGTGTCGTACCACCGCTATTGGTGCCCTCAGTTCTCGTCCTTGCCGGTAGAGCAGCACTGCTCGTGCCAATTCAACACCATTTAGTACGCGCTAAATTCAACAACTGAATAATAATGAATAACTTAATTGATAAAATATGTATCCATACATACTCATACCTACATGACTAACTTAATTACTAAAAAATGGTGGACATAATCTGCAACATCCCTGTTGATTGATCTGATTGATCGACGGATGTCCCGTTAGCTCAATTGACAGAGCGTTGGGCATGTAACCCAGAGGTTGTGAGTTCGACTCTCACATGGGGCGGTGGAGTTTTTTCATTTTCCATTGTCACTCGAAATCAGGGCTTTCCATCTTCATCATTACAATGTTGCCAAGTCTCCAACATTCTCATGACATTTTGTTATGGAGAATAAGAAATATTTGGACATGCTGGTTGCTCCAAAATGTGAAGAATGAACTATTATGTCATGAGTTCCTCCTATTATGTTTTATTCAACGACAGGAATCGAACATCTTTTTCAATCAATCAATCAACTTCATTATTCCCAAAAAACAACATTTGCTTATAGCAGGGAACAGGGTGAATATAATATAATTGGTGACTTGACAACCTTGATTCATGAGTGGATATGGAAGATTATCTGGCCAATAACGAAACAGCATAAAAACTGACATCACCATTTTTTCGACGTATCGCCAAATGGTTTTGAACATAGTGGAAGGAGAAGATGGTGTGCCTACGCGCATATTATGTGACGTCATCTGAGATATCAATATCAACTGCTAGTCACAGACAGATACCGTTGCCATGGGCGTGCGCAATGAATTCAATCATGTTTATTGAAATTTCTTTGAGTTTCTCGATCTGTTTAGAAATAATTCAATTTATATAAACAGGTACCTATTCCTTCGATTTTACTATTTCATTGATTCTGGAAATTGTGATCTTGAGGTAATTCGCAATCGAAAATAGCAAATACATACGAATTATCATGTATTGCCAATCCCATCTGAATGATACTACTGTGTCGATTCTGACAAATTGAATTACAGGTAAACGACGTTGACGTTGCTTCTGCTCCGACATCGACAACAGGAGTATCAATTTTTGCCGTTTTGTTATTCAAATCTTTGCTGCAATTTATATTTTGTGAGAAATTAATAGTTTTGAATTCATTTTCAATTATTTCTGACTTGATATTCGGAAGATGTTCTGTAGGAATGGCATCTTGTTTCAAATATTTGTGATTTTTTGTCAAGAACCGTACTTTCGCAATTGCTTGGGAACATTTTGCATGGAAATGTTTTGAAGAAATACTTGCTGTGCTGTAATATGACTGTGATGATAATATAATAGGATAATACTTTGGAATGAGGATATAAGGAATATAAGGTAGGTACCATTATTATAGTTTATATTCTGTCGGCAGCAAGCTCCCATCGTTTCATTAGGTCTCCATTCTTGGAAAAGCAGAAAAATTCAAAATCTGTGCCTTTTGTATGTTAGTTGGAATTTCCATAACCAGAAACGAAACAAGTGGGCATTTCGAAATTATTTCATACAATTTTAGTACTTATATAATATCTGATGAAGTTCGAGACATCAATCACGAAAACAAATAATAGCAATGACAGTTATATCCCAGCTGACGTCATGCGCAGAACAAGACGAGTTTGAGCTTTCTGTTGAGCACACCATCTTCTCCTTCCACTATGGTTTTGAACAACGCATAGACTTATTATTTACATAAAAAAGAAGTGTCAGAAGTGTTGCACAAATGAATTTAGATTCCTAACAACACAGTGGAGTAATTGATTGCCAATAATTCATCATCAGTCCACTCGCCCATTGCCTCGTGTGTGACACAACATATCAAAATCGAATAAATTCATAATCATTCTGGATCCTCATAATACAATGAAAGTGAAAAAAGCCCTTACCTTTACAGAAACGTAATTTCAACAAGAAATAATACTTGCTACCAACCCCAGAGTTTGGGAGTTTCCTCAATTATAAACCCTGTAGAACCATTTCAAATATACGGAATGGCCCTTTTATTTTCATTAATATAAGCTACACTGTACCTTTGATGTAAAATCAACATGATGTAAAGGAAACAATAAAATTTGAAGAAAAACTAGAAGACATCAGATAAACATTAATATTGCCAAGATCCAAAATGGATGTGGATGAAGTGTATATATTTAATTTCAAGATGGTATACTCAGATAGTCTTTTGAGAAAATTTTAAAAACTATCCTTATGTCAATGATATATTTGATCGCCTTTCCATTTCTAAACAGATAATTGCTATTGTTCAGGAAAAAAACTTTTTCTGAGGATATCATCTCTCGCTATGTTTGTGATAATAATGCTGTACTGATTTCGAAGCAAAACTAACCAAAAAGTTATTTGCCTCATAAAAAATGAAAAACCCAAGAAAAAAAATCAGGATGAAGAGTTTGGGTACATGAAATGCCCAAGAAAGTGTATTCCTTTTATAAATGATGTGTAGTTTGAGCCAACTCAATTTTTTTTATGGAAAATATATCGATTAAATGTCTAATTCGGATAATTTTTTGGGAACAAAGAAAATTATCAACTAAAATGTCAATTTCTGTAAATTGATTTTCCACAATATTGATTGGAATTTCATAACGAAGCAGTTTTTTATTACATTTTTCTGCTAGCAAAGCCGACTAGGCAAGCCTTGAAAATATTGATATTATAATTTAGTGATACTATTCAGCATCTAACA